AGTTTTCCATCCCAGCAATAACAGTGCCTTAAAACAATGAACAAAGTAGCTGCAACCATCATAACCTTCTCTAATAAAAAAACCAAAGGGCACACGTTCTCAAAAACTTATGTGTGGCCAGACAATCATCTTCATCAGGACACCTGGCACTCTAACTAATGTAAGTTTTCTATTGTTTATTTACATTCACCAGAAAACCAAAAAGTAAGAGAAGGATGTCTTGTAAGATTCAGACAAACTAGCATTCTCCAGAATCACACCTAATATCATACTCAATGTGAAAGACAGCCCTTTCCTCAAAGATAAGAAACAGAAAAGGTCAGTTAACATGACTTCTATTTAACATAGTAATGTTAAGTTCTAGTAAGAGCAGTTAGACAAGAAAAAGAAACTGGAAAGGAAAAAAGTAAAATTATCTATGTCCATGTATAACACGAACACCACAGAAAACCCCAAGGAACCCACAAAAAGAATAAATAAATTCAAAATGCTGCGGGATACAGAAATCAACCCACAAAAATTCGGTGCATTTCTATATACCAACAATGAACAATTTGTAGAAGAAATCAAGGAAACAATTCCAATTCCAATAGCATGAAAAACAATAAAAGTCTAGGAATAAACCAAGGAGTTAAGAGTCCTAATGCTGAAAATGATAAAATTTGCTGAAAGAAAATGAAAATGAATAGAAAAAAATCCCATAATCCTGAAATTGAGAGACTAAATACTATATTAAGCATCAACAATAGGCCAGTGGGCAGGACAGAGAAGCCACACGGAGATGGAATCACAGCCAGAGTATTATCAAGAGCAAAGATTCAGAGAACTAAGAAAAACAGACAGATATGTTATAACTATATAACTACTGCATAAGGGAATAGGAAGGTAAGGGCTACGGTTGTGGCTTAGTGGTAGAGTGCTTGCCTAGTACGTGTGAGGCACTGGGTTCAATCCTCAGCACCACATAAAAACAAATAAAGTCTTTTGACAACTAAAAAAATTGGAAAAAATGAAAAAACATATAAAGGTATTGTGTCCATCTACAACTAAAGAAAAAAAAGGTAAGATAAAGAGGGCTTAGGGTAGTAGAATATATGCTTAGCATACAGGATGCCCTAGGTTCAATTCCCAACACCAACCCCCCCCCCACACACACAAACACAGCTGTTAAAAAAAGTTAATAAAACCAAAAGCAAACTATATAATCCTAGCGACTTGGGAGACTGTAACATAAGGATCATAAATTCAAGGCTAGGCTTAGCAGCTTTGAGACCCTAAGCAACTTAGGAAGACCCTATCTCAAAATAAAAAGAGCTGAAGATGTGGCTCAGTGGTTAAGTGCCCCAAGTTTAATGTTCAATCACTGGTACAAAAACAGGGGTGGTGGTGCTGGGGATATAGCTCAGTTGATACAGTGTTTACTTTGCATGCCCAAGCCCTGGGTTCAGTCCCCAGCACACACAAATAAAGGAAATTAATAAAACTGGACTACAGGTATTGCTCAGTGTTAGAGCACTTGCTTAGCATGTGCCAGGCCCTGAGTTCTATCTCCATAAGGCAAAAAATAAAATAAAATAAAATAAAAAGTTAATAAAACTAAGGCTTGATTCATGAAACAATACAGTATGCAGAAAATCCTAAAATTACCATAAACCTTAAATACTTTAAAATGTGTTGTATGTGGTGGTAAAGTATAAATGACACACTACTAAACCTGGAATTACAAACATACTGAAAAGACTAGCCAAAGAACTAACAAATACAAGTCAACAAACAAAGGTATCATTTAGCTATGAATTTAGATGAACTATTATCAGAAAAAGCGTAAGTCTTAACACTTTTTGTGTTCTTTGTCATATTTGAAATTTGTCAAAACAAAGTTTTACTAAGTCTACAGAGTAATGATAATTAAAAAATCAAAGGCAGACTTATGATCTTAGAACTTTGAAATGTTAAGATATGTACCCTTGTGGAACTTGACACCTCAAAGGGAAGGGTGAAATAAAATTTAACAAATACATATAGTTTACTACAAAAGCCATAAGGAAAAGAAAGAAAAGAGTGTAGGTAGAGCACATGCTTATCCATGCACAAGGCCCTGGATTCAATACCCAGCAATAATAACATTAAAAAAGAAAGAAAAGAAAGGGCAAAAGGCAAGAAGAAAAATAGTAAATAAAGAAGGAAATAAATATGTAGCCAAAGTAAAAAATTTAACAACAAATTAACAAAATAAAATACTAGTTTGAGGACAATGTGGAAGACGGCAGTAATAAAGATCGGTGTTCTTAAAGTGTTCTAAATTGATAACATTTAGTCATACAAAAATGTTAAAGTATTAACAAAAGCAAATTTCAAAGACATGAAAAATTAGTACAAATCTTTTGCAACAGAGTAATCTAAAATGACAAGAGATTAGAATGAAAAAACAAAAATCGTAGAAAATGGGCAGAAAATGAACAAAAAGTTGTACATGGCTCAAACATACCATGAAATATTATTTCTCTTGAACCTAGTTGGCAAAACATTTAAAATATCTAGAGTTGGCAAACATTAAGAAAAAAAGTGAAGATAATTTGCTAAAGTACCTATCAATACAAATATACTGATCCTCTTATTGTTTAAGCACCTTTTTCCTACAGATGTTCTGTCATATGAAATAACATTAATGGATATTCAACACATTATTTATAAAAACAGGACACTGGAATTTAATCTTAATAGCTATCAACAGAAAGCAAGTAAAATATATATCCTAACAATGGAAAAAAATGCAGATAGGAAAAGAAAAGGATGCTCATTACAAAATGGTATGAAAATAGCCCCCAAATTTTAATAAAGGCAAACTACTCAATACTTTCAATTATATAAGTTCATGATTCTTTAAAAAAAAATTTTTAAGACTAAATTGATCACCTTTTCACTTTTTAAAGAACTCACTGTTTGAAAATAGATAAAGGAAAAACAATGAGCCATTTATCCTGCCTTTTCCATACAAAAGATACTTCAAAGAAATAGGTCACAAAAGGAAATTTCTCCTTATACACATAGTCCAGCTAATAAAGGGGGCAGGGGACTACTGGATTAGAACCATTTTGCAACTGCTAATGATATAAAAAGATATAGGCAGTGGCTGCTGGCACAACCAAAGGGGGGGGGTCAACAATCTCATATTATGCCCAAGAGCAGGAAAAAACACAGCATAATCTAATAAACAGTTTTGTCAAGAAACCTAACTAAGTCTAATCAAACCTCCAAATAATCAAAGTATAAAAATAGAGGAAAAAGAAATACATGTGAAGTTATTTAACAAGGATAAAGTTAGCAAACAGACTACGAAAGTCTATGGCAAAATAATCCGTGGTACCATCAGTTTCTTCAACAAACAGCCTCCCCTCCATACAAACAAAAAGAGGAATATAGACATTTAAACATTCTTATTTTTTTTTTAGACAGAATTTTTTTACTACTTATTTTTCAGTTTTTGGTGGACACAACTTCTTTATTTTATTTTTATGTGGTGCTGAGGATCAAACCCAGCGCCCTGCACATGCTAGGCGAGCGTGTTACCGCTTGAACCACATCCCCAGCCCAGAGATTTAAACATTTTTAATTGGTTCTTTTGTATAACAAGAGACTAAGACATTTTTAAGAAAAACATAACCATGACCACTAAGCTATGCTGACTCAGGCAAAATTCCTAGGAAGACAATTCACTAGTAAAATTAAAGAATGAAAAGGATTATATATTAAAACAATAAACACAGACATCAAATTATAAACTATGGGAAAGTCAGAATTCATCAAACTAGTCCAGGGAGGTAACCAAACAAACCACAAAAAAGCAAAACAAAATATTGACAACAACTTTATTCAAAAAGCCTTAAGTCACAAACAAAGGACCAAATGTCCAAAAATGGACTGGATACAAAAAATATATAGCATAACGATATATGAAATTCTATTAAGCAATAAGAAGACTACTGATATACTGGTAAGCAACATGGATCACTTATAGCCATAAGTTAAAAAAAAAAAAAGCGGGCTGGGGTTGTGGCTCAGTGGTAGAGCACTCGCCTAGCATGTGTGAGGCCCTGGGATCCTCATCACCACATATAAATAAAATAAATGTATTTTTTTTAAAAAAGCAAGCTACAAAGAGTACATACAGTTCATCTTCATTTTAATAAACTCATAAGACAGTTGCAGTGGTGCATACCTGCAATCCTAGCTACTTGGGAGGCTTTAGCAGAAGAGTTAAGTTCAAGGCCAGCCTTCAGCGGCCTACTAAAACCAGTCTCAAAAAATTAAAAGGGCTTAGGTTGTAGCTGAGTGGTATAACACTTAGCCAGGCATGTATAAGGCCATGGTTTCCATCTCCAGAACCACAAAAAAATACATATAACAAAATTACAGCAAAAAAATTCTAAGTTTAGGTGGCAATAAAGCACATCAGTAGTTAACAAGGATACAAATGTGGTGATCTGTTTGACTACAAATGGGCACAAGGGATAAATGGCCTAATGCAAATGTACAACTGTAGTTTCTACAAGACTAAATACATTTGTCAAAATGAATGGAAATGTTCACTTAAAATAGATGCATCATTTTATCGTATGTAAATTATACATCGACCAGGTTAAGTATAATTAGTACATATAATAAGACCAATTCTCATCTTGATCCAAATTGAGAAGGAAAAATTAAAAGTTTTTAAACCTGATATTTGAAAAATCTAAATGTCAAACATTTCATATTAAGAAATCACTCTAGCTGCGGGGGTGGCACAAGCCTGTAATTCCAGAGGCTCCGGATGCTGCTGAGGCAGGAATATAACAAGTTCAAAGCCAGTCTCAGCAATTTAGCAAGGACTTAAAGCACTTTAGTGGCCCTGTCTCAAAATAAAAAATAAAAAAGTTTAGGGATGTAGCTCAGTGGTAAAGCACTCCTGAGCTCAATCCCCAGTACCCAAAAAAAGAATAAAAAGAGAAAAAGGGGGCTGGGGATGTGGCTCAAGTGGTAGAGCACTCGCCTAGCATGCGTGAGGCCCTGGGTTCAATTCCCAGCACCACATAAAAATAAAACAAAGATATTGTGTCCACCTAAAAAACTAAAAAATAAATATTAAAAAAAGAGAGAAAAAGAAAAATCTATAAGCATTGGGCAGCTGTCATGTTCACACTGCCAGGTACAAGTTTTCAAAAAATCCCAATTTTTGCTTCAAAGTTCAAATTTTACCATTGGCAACGAACACAGTCTGCCTTCGTTAAAGTGATAAAAGGTCCCTGTATCCATCCCCAGTAACGTGGCGGGGTGGGGAGGGGGGGATGCTTTAAACATTTAACATTCAAAATATTTTATTTACATTTTAGTTTTCGGCAGACACAACATTGTTGTTTATATGTGGTGCTGAGGATCGAACCCGGGCCGCACCCATGCCAGGGGAGCATGCTACGGCTTGAGCCACATCCCAGCCCCTCAAAATATTTTTATACACTGAAAAAACAAATATTTACACATGAAGAGTTAAAGTGAGACATTCAAAATAACCAGCTGAGTAAATACTAATAAATTATTTTTAGCATAGCATTGTATTAGGTTATCTGTGTGCTTGCTATCCAAAGCAATTTCACTGCTTTCATAGTAACCAATATTTAAATTTCTTGTGGAGAAGCCCATACTTTTAGCTTATGAGATCTAGATAAAATCAGCTTCAGAAATGGATCCTGTCTAGTTTAAACCAAAGTTTGTCCTCTTTGAACTCTATCTCAGGAATAGAGCCAAAGATATATGAGCCAATATGTGAAGTAAGATGTGCTGGCAAGATTTTAGAAAAAGCTTCCTTATTCTTATACAGCAGGTTCCAGAAGATTCTCTTTTCACCTACATTGTATACATATGTGATATCTAAACAGTGTGGTATAAAGATAGTTGAACAGCAATTTTTGCTAACAGGGGAATGGCCAAACTGAAGTCAAAACCAAGAAAGGACAACATAGCAAGACACAAAGAAATGAAGTCCTGATATTATAAATGTATGGATTAAAAGTAAGCCATGCCTGAAGATAGCACACGCCCAGAGTGCTTAATTAATGCTTCAAATATAACAATAAGATTAAATTTTTTTTAAATAACTATTTTACATTTATGTTCAAAGGTGTTACTTTTGCTGGTCTTTGCCACAGGATCCTAACTGATTAAAAACATAATTCCTAGGATGGGGCTGTTGGTCAGTAGTAGATCATTTGCCTCATATATATGAGGCACTAGGTTCCATCCTCAGCACCACATAAAAATAGATACTGTGTCCACATAAACTAAAAAACAAAATTAAAAAAAAAATAATTCCATCTTAAAATCTTTAACCCATGCATGTTAATATCAAGAGCTATTAAGGAAAAATTTTAAATACCCCAAGTCACTGGCAAAAGAAGTTTTTAAAAACATCCCATCTCTTCTCGTGGTTGGTAGGTGGTGGGAAAATCAATATAGTACCTTTTTATGAAAGGAGCAGTAAGCAAGATATCACAAAACCATGTACTGACAATATTCAAAATATCCAAGAATACTAATAAAACAGGAAAAAAAAATAGCTAGAATGTAGCTCTGTGGTAGAGCACTTGCCTAGAATACCCGAGTACAATCTCCAGCAGTACTAATCCTAGCATGTGCAAGCACTGTGAAATGTAATTACAACAGAGAGCCACAATCACATAACCGATAACCTCATAGAATAAAAAAGCATTAAAAAGTCAGCCAATTATAAATATGTAATTATAAACTATGAAGGAAAACAACTTCAGAGTGGCCTCTGAGAAAAACAAAATCAACACTTAAGACTTGAAGGCAGCTGGATACGATGGCACATGTAATCCTAATGTTTTGGAGGTTGAGGAGGAGGAGGATCACAAATTCAAGGCTAGCCCAGCAACTTAGCAAGGCCCTAAGCAATTGCAACTCTGTCCCAAAATAATAAATAGGGCTCAGTGGTAAAATACTCCTGGGTTCATACCAGTATCAAACCAAAAACAAGACTTAAAGGCATAATGTATACAACAAAGGCACAGTGGCAGTGAACTGCATAACAGAAAGGTGGTAACACAAAACAATTGGACAAGGTTTAGCAGCGCTGTCATGTGAGCTTCTCAAATCAGGGAAAGTAAGCCATTTTACTACTCTCATTCCCAACAAATATTCCAATTATGCAAAGGCCCGATTCAGTCTTCCATTTTTCTTGAAACCTCCTTGTCTAACCCACTTTAGCCAAATTAATCTCTCCACAATTTCTTTAACAGATTTCAGTTTCCCAACTTCCTTTTACAAAAGGAAAAAGGAAAAAAAAAATGGTTAATGAGAAGTACACTGAATAGAAAAAAGAACTAAATTCTAATCATAGTCTTGCTACTTTTTTTTTCCCCCCTCAGGATTCTTGTGAGTTCCAATGAATATATGTGAAATTACAGTATTCAAATAGCTAAAGAAATATACAGATGGTCCCTGACTTATGATTCTTTTACTTTACCATACTTCTAACTATAGATTTTGAGCTTTTCCTTTTTTTTCTTTCTTTTTTTTTTTTTTTTTTTTTTTTTTTTTTTTGCTGTTGGTTATGTTTTGAGGCAGGGGTGTGGTACTAGGGATTGAAGTTCTGAGCTACATCCCCAGTTCATCCCCTCCGTCCCCCAGTCTCAATAAGTAGCTGAGGGTCTAAGTTGCTAAGGCTGGCCTTGAAATTGTAATATCCTTCTGCTTCAGCCTCTGGAGTCTCTGGGAATACAGGCATATCCTACCATACCCAATTTCCCAGGCTTCTAATATGCTGTTAAAATACTCTCTTGCAATGCTCCACAGTGAAAGAGCCACATCTTCTGACCACAAGGGTCAAAAACCAACACTTTATAGTGTACTGCATTGTTAAACTATGTTTGGTAGGCTAGGTGTGTTGAATGAATTTTCAATTTAGGGTATTTTCCCTCTGCAATGAGTTTAATCATGACAACCCATCATAAATCCAGGAGCATCTATATTACCACTGTTACATGTAATTCAACAGTATTCTAACTGCACAAGCATGGTACTATTACTGCCTGTAGATTGGGCACAACACTTGAAGACTGTTAAGCTGATGTGTCACTATGTTGCCCAGGCTGGTCCCAAACTCATGATCCTCCCACCTCAGCCTCCCAAGTTACTGGGACTATAGGAACATACTACTGTGTCTAGTTTTATATTACCTTTTTGAGTGCCCACAGATGAATAATTTTCAAGCTTATTTATAAATCAACTATACTCTTTTTCTCCACAAAAGAAATCTAACAAGGGCTGGGGATGTGGCTCAAGAGGTAGCGCGCTCGCCTGGCATGCGTGCGGCCCGGGTTCGATCCTCAGCAGCACATACCAACAAAGATGTTGTGTCCGCCAAGAACTAAAAAATAAATATTAAAAAGTCTCTCTCTCTCTCTCTCTCTCCTCTCTCACTCTCTTAAAAAAAAAAAAAAGAAAAGAAATCTAACAATATAAACCAAATAAAATTGAGCTTTTTGGGCTGGGGTTGTGGCTCAGTGGTAGAGTGCTTACCTAGCAAATGAAAGGCCCTGGGTTCAATCTTCAGCACCACAAAAAAATAAAGGTATTTTGTCCAACTACAACTAAAAAATAAATATTAAAAAAAAATTGAGCTTTTAACTTTGAGACAGTGGATGGGGCTCCAAGTCTCCCTCACTCCCCCAAACAGGAACAATTCTAAGAAACAGTTTCTAAACTGTTTCTAAACCATGATCACTACTAAAAATCTTGAAAAGGAAATAAGGACAAAGTCCTGTAGTTTGTCACCAGTCACATCCCTCCAGGTTAACAAGATTTTTTTTCATCTTTTCTACAAGGATAGTGTCAAGATTTATCCAGTGCTTGATATAGTCAAATGCTACACATCTATAAATAGAAGTTATGTATTACTGCCATGATTCTTTTTTTTTTTTTTTAAGAGAGAGTGAGAGAGGAGAGAGAGAGAGAATTTTTAATGTTTTATTGTTTAGTTCTCGGCAGACACAACATCTTTGTTGGTATGTGGTGCTGAGGATCGAACCTGGGCCGCACGCATGTCAGGCGAGCGCGCTACCGCTTGAGCCACATCCCCAGCCCCTGCCATGATTCTTTACTAAACTTTTTCTTTCCTTAGTGATTATTTAATGGTGGCAAATTTCTCTTGTAGTTTCCAAAATGGGGGGGAAGGGGGAATACTCAAAGACTATATTTGCCAATTTCTGCTATTCTAGACATTTACCAATTAAAGCTTCACATCATAACCATAAACTCTATGACCTTCACTGGATGTAATCTGCAAAACCTTGGAGATTTTATATTTGACCAACAATAGCAAATCTCTCACCCTTATATGAAATGCTTGGGATGAGAAGTGTTTCAGATTTGGGAGTTTTTCACATTTTAGAATACTGGCATAGGCTGTACTGGTTGAGCACCCCATCTGAAAATCCAAAATTTGAAGCTAACATGTGAACGTTAGCTCAAAAAGCTTTGGTGGACTTTCTGATTAGGGATTTAGAGTCCCACTTAATATATAATTTATCCTGCTAGTTTAGGGATCCATGTAGAAGGGAAGATGGAAACAAAATACCACTAGAGTAAAACAATTCCATTGACCACATTCCATTATAGCACTCTACTAAGCAGTAGGTCCACTGTTCCTTTATTGATCTTACTTTAAACACAACTTCAAAAGCCCTATTGAACTCAAGCTTTTTGGTTTGTTTCTTGTTTTTTGAGGTGTTGAAGATCAAAACCCAGGGACTTACACATGTGAGGTAAGCACTTGACAGTACTGAACTACACACCTCCATCCTTTAAGGAGTTTTCTTAAGTCTTAGTTTATTCTGAGCTTTAGTGTTTGCTACTACTCTTGCACTTCTACATCCATCATCAGGTAATAAACCTTTCTCAATAATTAAAAAATATTGGTTCATGAGTCTAAAACAAAGTGCCAGAATAAAAAGTACCCCTCCATTTTGTCTTGTGATTTAGAACAAGTACATTGCATTCTTACTTAGTACTAAGATT